AATACACTGTAAGAGGCAGCAGAAGAAGATTAGCTTACAGAGAAGATTAGGAGGAAATAACTAGTAGGTCTAAAGAACAGGAGGAGAAACCAACTAGCTGTGGAACTCTCCTTTCAGTGAGGCAAACATCGATACCTCAGGAAAAGACTGCAAATACTGTCATCCAACTCACTATAAAAATTATTGACTTTCAAAGATACTATTTTTATTAAAAATTACAATAAGCTAAATTACCTAAAATTGGTGGTACCCTCTAGATATTAAGGCTTGTTGAATCTTGAAGTGAGCGGACAACAGTGTCATGGAGACATACAACGTGCTGCATTTAGGAGCTTGGCCCCAAGGTGTGTAGACGTGACCAGGTGATCCGGAAGCAGCAGGGGGATCCAAGAACACATTGGTACTGTCGTCTCAGCCCCCTCCGAATCTGGAGACATGGCAGAATTAAGCAGCTTCCTCTTCATGGTTGTGAAGGAAGCACTGTCTGCAGGGCCAGGCACATGTGAGTTCGGGCGAGTAGATGGAGGAGATCTCCTTTCAAGCAGTTGAAGGAGTTTGCCCCAAAGAGACCAGTAGGAAGGTTTGAGTTGTTTTGTTGCTGGGACACTTGACTTGGGGCTGGAGGAAGGAGGAAAAAGCACAGAGGTTTTTACTGGATAGATAACCAGAGAAACCAGCATTGGGGTAGTGATAAAGGATTACAGAAATAAGGTGTCTACAGCAACTGGTTTTCAGATCGCACCTTTTAGACGCAAAAGCCAGTGTGGTCTCCCACGTGATGGGAAGGCTGTGATGATTATCACCTGCATTTGGCTGACAGTGGTTCTGGGAGAAAGCGAAGTAGGACCTCAGCTACTGCAGAGCTTTCATTACCACCTGCTGCATTGCTTTGCCACTAGAAAATTGTAATGGTGAAAGAATCTCATAAAAGATTGATCCTTGCAGTGTTGAAAGTATAGCTAGTAGAAGAACCTGTGGACACTTGGAGGTCTGATGGCAGGCAGACGGGCAAAGGCTGGGGTGGAGAAGAGAAGCCAAATGGGAACCTGCGCAAAGAAATACCAAGAAACTGCAAAGCTTGGGATAGAGGGAGAGCGATGATTTGTGTGAGAAGCACAGCCTTACTGTGTCTGGATGCTTGCTTTTCATAGTTGGTAGCTACTGCTGTTCTGTTACCATTATGTGTTCATTTTTCATGCCTTGAATCAAACAGCATCTGACTCCTATTAAGATCCTAATGCAGTACACTGTAGCAGCTGGCAGCCACTTTCATTGCAGCATCTGCACATTTTCATTGAAATGTTCTTGCTTGGAGATGTAGTCAAGAGGCTGATCGCCAGAGTGTGTTCAAGGACGAGTGGCATACTTTAGTAGCGTTGAAAATATTGCAAATGATAAAAATCAGGGCAGGGGCAAGATTAAAATAATTGGTGGTTGGCCCTCTCATACAAAATTTGGAAATTCAGCCAGATTTGTGACCACCTTCACAAAATTATGGTCATTTGAAATAAGAATTCATACAACTATCACCATAGTTTTAAACCCTGGAGAAGGAGGGAGAGCAAGAAAGTGTCAGTTATTGCGTCATTCGTGTCAAAGGTGCCTCCAAAGCTTGAACAACTTTTGATTGCTATAGACACATTTAATTTGAAGATCTAGATTCATTCCTTTAGGTATGGACTTTGGAGATTTGGGGAGATAGCAAGATTACACAGCAAAATATTCAGAACACTGCAACTTGATTGAGCTCAATTGATATAAGTTGTTGAGAGTCGTAAGCTATTTTTTAAAATCCACACCTTGTACTTTAAGTTTGTGTTTTTCTTATGAATAAGACTAAATATATTTCATGTTTATAAGCCTTTGATTACCATTTCCTGAGAATTCCGTTTATGTACCCTTTGCTCACTTTTCTGTTTGGTCATTCATAGCTTTCTCATAGTTTCTTAGAGCTTTTTAAATGTTAGGAGAATTACACGTTTGTGATATGATTTTCAAATATATATATATTTTTTCCCACTTCTTATGTTTACTGTTTGCTTATAATGTGGGTGTATTTTTGTGTTTGTTTATAATGTGAGTCTGTTTTTGTTTTCAATATAGTTGTCATTCAATATAACATTACTTTCAGGTACACAGCATAGTGGTTAGACATTTATATAGCTTACAAAGTGATCCCCGATTAGTCTGTTACCCACCTGGCACCATACATAGTTATTACAATGTTATTGACTATATTCCCTATGCTGTACTTTACTTCCCCATGACTGTCTTGTAATTTCCAATTTGTACCTCTCAATCCCTTCACCTTTTCCACCCAGCCCCCCCATACCCCCTCCCACCTGGCAACCATCAGCTTGTTCTCTATGTGAGTTTGTTTTGATTGTTCATTGTTTTGTTGTTTAGATTCCACACATAAGTGAAATCACATGATATTTGTCTTTCTCTGTCTGACTTATTTCACTCAGCATAATACCCATCTTTGTTGTTGCAAATAGTAAGATTTCATTCATTTTTACGGCTGAGTAATATTCCATTATATATATGTACACATCTTTATCAAATCATCTATTGATAGATAGGTTGCTTCCATATCTTGGATATTCTATATAAAATGTCCTTCTTTGTCTCTTATTATAGCCTTCATTTTAAAGTCTTTTTTGTCTGATATAAGTATTGCTACCCCACCTTTTGTTTGTTTTCATTTGCATGAAGTATCTTTTTCCATCCTTTGCTTTCAGTCTGTGTGTCTTTCGATCAGAAGTGGGTCTCTTATAGGCAGCATATGAGTCTTGTTTTTTTCTCCATTCAGCCACCCTATCTCTTTTGACTGGAGCATTTAATCCATTTACATTTAAAGTAATTATTGATAGGTACGTAGTTATTGCCATTTTGTTATTCATATTTTTTATCTGTTTTTCTTCTTAAAGGGGCCCCTTTAACATTTCTTAGAATACTGGTTTGGTGGTGGTGAACTCTTTCTTAAGCTATTGTCTAATTTCCTTAAACTTTGGAAGAACTTAGATCTTTATATTGTAAGCTATACTGCCTTTTTTCTAGCTATTCTTGGCTAGTCACTAGCTCTTAGGAAAATGAATTTAGCAATGACTACTATTGCTCATTTTATTCTTCCAAACAGCCCATGCAGCATCCTGAATGAAGAATCAAAACAATGGATGGTTCCCTGAGGTTAATTTCTATTATAAAATAAATCTGCATATTAAACAGAATATTAGATTTAAATTATTTTGCCCCCCCTCCCCCCACTCCCATCACCACCAAAAAAGAAACTGTTTTGGAGGAGGAGTGTGTGGGTGTAAAGAGGAATGATGTTGTGTCATATAAATAACCATTATGCTGTGTAAGAAATTGCTTTTAGTTTACCTACCTACTATCTAAAATCTTGTTAGATTAGCAGCTATTCATGAAGAAAAATTATATGTAATATAAATCTATTAGTAAAGTCCTCCCATATGCCTTTATAAATGAATGAGCCCATTATAAAGTGTCTTCTAGTACAAGGATCCCATTTCCAATCATTGTCACCCTAAGAGAGAGAAAAAACACAAAAATCTCCTCTATAAAATCTCCAGTGGGTTCACGCAGAATTAAGATGAAAGTCTTGGCAGTGGCTTACATCACCGAAATGCAAGTTCCTAAACTGTCTTCCTTCCTTCTTTATAGGTTCTTAAGGTTTCAAGATTTTGTTTTACTCTTGCTTTTGATGCAGAGGAACCTGATATTTGAATTTTTAACTAACATCTTTTTAATTTAGTAAAGTTTATCTAAAGCAAATTAGTCCTCTTTAAAATAAGGTTCCCCAATAAATTGTATCCATCTCTCAACATCCACCCACCCCAGCTCCCAAGGAAATTATATTCCCTTCTCTCATTTCTTTGCCTCTATTTCCAGTCTTCTGTTTCTGAATGTTACGAATTAGTTTTGCATGGATTCTATAGCTGGTTTTCAAAGTTAAGAGCAAAGCAATCTGAGATGATAGAGAAAATCGTGTCTGATATGTTTGACTTGGGCTGCTTCTCCTTAGTGCCTTGTCTTTAATCTGGTGCAGATGGATGGGCCTGGGGGTGAAGGCCATGACCCTCTGAGTATGGGAATGTATCAGGACCCTTGACTCAGCTGCAGTGGCTAATTATCCAGACCAACTACCCTGTTTGCACACACTGGCATGAGTGACTCTAGGAGAGAGAGATACTAATTGCAATAAGGAATAGCAGGAAGAAGAAGAGGAAGTTTTCATTTATTGAGTCTTTTTTTTTGTACCAGGTTCTGTTCCAGATTCCAGACACTCATTATAAAGCTCCCCTCTCCCCCACCAGCATCCCTGGGAGGTAGGCAGGATTGTGTCTGACAGAAAACATGGGTTATGTTAAAAAGTTTGCCCAGGTTCACACAGATCGGAAGCTAGAGCAAGAATTCAAATCCAAGCCTGTCTGATTTGAAAGCCTTGTTCTTGAACTGCTGTCCATCTTGCATGTAATTTATATGGGGGTAGGGGAGTGTTAGGCATGTTCATATTCATGTATGTGCATATGTGTGTAATCTCCGCTCTGGACTAAGGTAGGATCCTAACGTGTTAAGTTGCACAAGAGGAAGAAACAGCCAAAATATGGGACAAGATTGGTGAGCTGCCCCAAGTCTGGCTTAGATCACTCACTACCTTGGTGCATGCATATGTAGTGCACTAGTTCCCCTCTTAGTTTCTGCTTTGTCTCTGTACATTAAAGATTCAATTATCTGTGTAAATGGAGGGTAGCCAGATGTGAATAACTCTATAAAGAACCAGTAATCTAAGGAGCATTTCAGTAGCAGTTTGCCATTTATATGTGACTTGTTTGGGGCAGATTTATATCCCTAAATATGTTTGCTTAGTCATCCCAGAATTGTAATGGATGGTCCTTACCCAAGAGCAGATAACAAAGTGGATTATCCTTAGGAGAATATCAGTTAATTCCTAAGGAAAGCTTTTAAATTCATTTAAAAGCATAGCTTTAGAGATGCTGACACCTTTTCTTTTTTTTCCCCTTAATTTGTTTAGAACTTACGCTATCAGGAGGATAAGAGATGCCTTCAGAGAAAATAAGAATGTGAAAGATCCTGTAGAAATTCAGACTCTAGTGAATAACGCCAAAAGAGACCTGGGAATGATTCGCCGACAGGTAAGATAGTTCATTAAGAGCATAAAGCTTTGACACATCCCCTTGATTGGATGCCACTGCTTTTGGTGTTTATGATTTACACAGAATCATGAGACTGTTCCTTTTACTCATATAGACATAGAAAGATGACCTATTATATTATTGAACTCAAGGAGAACATAAAGGAAATATCAGCTTTCCAGAAATTCCAGGGAGTGCATCCTTTGGGAAGCTGAGTTCTCACATTTAACTAAAGGTTGATGCTTTAAGTATACGAAACTTCCAAAAAATGTTGTCTCTTTGTATGATCTATTACACATTTCTATATGGACAAAGGTCAAAGAATATAAATGTGTTCTACTTTTCTTAGTATTTTAAAATCATACTTCAAGATAAGATTGTCTTGAAGACATGGTCATTGGTGAGGAATCTAATTTTGTTGCCATATGGAAGGTGTATCTGCAAGTACAAATGGTGTGAACAGCTGCTTTGGGATTGACCCCATAAAGGACCCTGGAAGGTGCTTTTGTTTTCATTTTGTAGAAGTGCCAGGGGTCACCTTGATTCATGCTTGCCTTTCTCTTTCTCTTGAGATAGAGTGGAGCATCTGCCACAGCATGGTTTCTGGGTAGTGTGATATGTCCATCTTGCAAAATCCATTAGCAAGCCAAAGGCTAAAGTGGCCTGCTATCAGCTGGCTTTCTCTCTAAAAAAATTACACTTTTCACTGTTTTCCTTGGGTTTCGCAGCAATCATACCATAAGCTTTATTTCTGCTGCTATTCGTTTTTCTCCCTTGCAGAAAATTTGTTTATAAAGTGTGGAAGGGAAGCCCCTTGCCATTTTCATAATTTCTGCTTGTGTTTTGGAAAGAGGTTCTTTAGCTTGACTGACTTTATATCATATCATAATATATTAACATTTGTTCTTCATGCCTGACTCTAAACAGAATTTTTTAAAAAAGCAGTATTAAAAACTGTAGTTTTCATTTTATGTCAAAATTAAAAGTCTTGTTCTATTGTCTACATAATGAAGCAACCCCTTCCAGAATAACATTTCAGGTTCTGATGACCCTCCTTGAGTTCTATAGTTATTTAGTAATAGAATAACTTTACCACATTCAGAGAAGCATAGGAAATGATCTTCGACTAAGGGAATGAAAAGGTAATAGGCTAATCATACAAAGAAACTGATCTGCATATTTGCATATACTTTGAGAGTAGCAGATAAATGAGTTGCATTTTGAAAACTCGAGAACGATGGCATTTTCCAGGCATCAGTGGTTGAAATTTATGGGACCTTTACCACTGGAACTTGTCCTTGTTTTGCATAAACTCAGAAAGATTTAATTCTTTGGCACTTTACCATGTAAAAGCTGCATCACCAAAACAGACTGGTTTCATCTTCTAGTGCAGGGGTGGGGAACCTTTTTTCTGCCCATGAAATCACTTGGTCTGGCCCTGCCAAGGCAATTGCAAGCGGGACTCAAAATTCAATAAATTCAATTAAATGTTTGACCAAATATAATTGCAGGCTATTTTTAAGTTGATAATTTTGTATGGCAGGGACAGATGAAATGATTTCATGGGCCGTATATGGCCCATGGGTCGGACATTCCCCACCCCTGTTCTAGTGTAAGGTTGTTCAGAGTAGAAAATGTTTAGAAAAGGTTACCTGTAAGTAATCTGTTCCACCATTTCAGCTGTGTCTTTGTTTTGAAATGCTAAAACTACCCTCTCAAAAAAAAAAAAAGACTAGACTGGCTGTCTTCAGATATCCCCAGTGAATCCACTTAGCAGACTCAAACCATGGAGCCTCTGGACATGTGCAGAGGGCCGGGGCCCACACACCCCAGGGCAGCCTCGCCAGGGCCCAAGGCTTCCATAGTAACTAGTAGAGCAACAGAGGACTGATCATGTGATCCCAGAAGGCCCTCGGAGGAGGAGCCCTGACAAATGAAGGCATTCTCATTCCATCAGAAAACTAGTTAGCCAGTTATACTTCAACAATGGGGAGGTTTCTGTTCCCGTCCCTTTCACATCAAGACTTCCTGAATTCAAGAATAATATTGTCTGTAGTTGGCTTACGAGATGTAGTGAACTCCTAGAGCCACCTCACTCTAAGCTGGTATAAGTTGACCTTGGCAAAAAGGCCATAAAGAAAGTAGCATCTGTGTTTCCTTCTCACTGGCCACTGTAATGGCCTTCTAAATTGCCTCCAATTGCCCCGCTCCCCAAATGTGCTATTCTTCACACACTGCCAGAATGGTCTTTTTTATAACAAAAATCAGAGCAGGTTACACCCCTTGTCACAACCCTCCAGGGGCTTCAGAGCACCCTGACAATGAATTCTCTGGTCCTTATGAAGTCCTTAAAGGCCCTCCATTGCTCTTGTCTCCCTTGCACTATGTCAGTACCTTCTTCATGGCCCTGGTACATCTCCACCTTCTTCCCATCTCAGAGCCTTTACACCTTCTGCCTAGAATAGTCTCTCCCCAGACCTTCCAATAGCTCGATCCCCCTTTTCACTCATACTTTGCTCAGACTTCCCCTCTGTCACTATCACCTTACCCTGCTTTAGTTTTCATTACGGCACTTAGGGAACCAAAAATAACACTGCTGTTGCTTTGCCTGTTTTCTCCTTTTCTTTGAGGACAGGGATCTCACCTGTCATGGTCACTGCTACCTAGTATGCAAGAGCATGGGCTCTGGAGCCAGCCTGCCTGTGTTCAGATCCTGACTCAACCTACTGTGACCTTGAACCAGATATCTAACCTCTCCGTGGCTCATGTAGAGAACAGATGACAGCAGGCCCAACTTCATGGGTTATAGTGAAGATCCAATAAGTTAACATATGTGAACCCCTTAGAAGGATGCTGTCATATAATAAACACTTGTTATTGTTATCCAGAGTATCTGGAACAACCCCACATAGAGTTGGCCCTTAATATTTGTTTGTGGATTAAATGAATATATGAAGAGTTCGGCTCCTGAGATCACATACTGCAGTTAGGGAGTGTGTGCCACCAAAATCATGGTATCTTGCTGCCCACACAAAACCTCTCTTCAGAGAGAATGAACCTTGAGAGGAAAGCGGAAACCCAATGAGGATCTTGAGACATTACCCTCATGAGCTGTACTGTCATTCATAGCAAGTCCCTCTTTCACTTGATTACTTGGACCCAGAGACCATCCACCAGGATCTCAGCATTACTTTTCCACAGATGATAAAGCTCACAGACACCTTTCCAGCTGCCAAGTGTGCACATCCATAAGGCGGTACACAAACTGAAATCCTCCATCGGACTTTCTCCTCTCTCAACACTGTCCCCTACTTCCCTGCTTTCTACTCAACCTTCAAAGTGGATCTTTTTTCTAACTCTTCAGTCAATCAGCGGCAATGCTGATGATACAATTGTAAGCATGGTAAGATTTTGCAATTCTTAAAAAAGTCTCTCTGCAAAGATTTTCTTCTTTCTGGAGAGTAGAGAAACCAAAATGCAAGAAATCTGGATCCCTTGTCCTTGGCCACATGACCAGATCTGAGTTCAGATCTTCTAATTCCTTAGAGCAAACTCAAAAGTTCAAGGACGGGAGTGCCTGAGTCAGTAGAAATTAATGGATAAAGATAATCTTAAGTCATCCCCCAATTTTGTCTCTGAGATATTTAAGGGCCACATCGACCTAGTTCCATCTCTCATCAGAGTCATTCTTTTTATACCCTTAATGCAGAGATAGGTATTCTTCACCAGGGCAACCCTGAAGGATTCTGGAGAGCATCAGCACCTCATATTAGCCTTTCACACTCCTAAGGATTACTCCGGTTTGAAGAACTAATGACAGATTGTTTGCCTCCATTATTAGCAAGTCAGACACCTTTTGCTCCCTCTCCACAGTTTTGGCCCACTGGATAGAAGCCAACATACACATGTTTTTTCTTTGCCATTTTTGGACCAACTCTCTCCTTGAAAATTATACTTCAGTCTGACAATCTCTAATATCTTTCTAGCTATATGCATCATCTTGTATCTCATAACTAGCAGACATTCTTCCACCTTTCTATAAACTCCCATTCTTTTCATGTAAAATGGTTCTATAAAGACAGATTGGCCCTGGCAGCTCATATGAGTTCTTCCTCTCTCCTGAAAGCAAGTTCTGGACTAGCCTCCACCAAACTGAGCATTCCTGTCTGCTTCCCAAGTGGGATCAGAAAAATAGGAGAGGCCTTTTGTGTACATGCCTGATGGGCTGTGTGTAAGGTTGGGCAGACAGCTCTCACACAGTCTGGGCAGCAAAGAAGTCCCTCAGGACTTTCTACCTCAAATAGTAAGCTAGGCCCCGTGGGTATTTCATATCAAAAAGAGAAACACGAAAGTCAACCAGACTTTGCTTTCGTTGTTGCTCTTTTTTCCATCTTGCCATTCTGAAGATACTTTTCCTGGTTCCTATTTATAGGACCTTAATTAGAATAACTTTCAACTAATCACCCCCACTTACTATAGCTCTGCAGTTTGTCACACCCCTTTGCATTGTAAACAACCATATCGAGCCTTGTGGGGGTTTTTTGTTGTTTTTTTTTAAATATATCTTTATTGATTTCAGAGAGGAAAGGAGAGGGAGAGGGAGAGATAGAAACATCAATGATGAAAGCGTCATTGGTCGGCTGCCTAGCCCGCAACCCGGGCATGTGCCCTGACCGGGAATCGAACCCCAGTCGCCTAGATCCTAGGTCGATGCTCAACCACTGAGCCACGCCCTGCCTGGTGAGCCTTGTTTTGTATCAGTACTTCCCAAGCTCCTATCCTGGCTACTCCAGGTGTCCTCTGGTGCCTACAGCATCGGCATCCCTCCAGGTGTAGTTCACAGAGATTTTGTGTTCATCAAAGAGAGCACATTTTCCAAGCATTTTGAAATAGAGTTGTAATCTTTGTTACATACCTAGCATAAAAGACAGAAGAAATGAAGAGACTGCTGGAAAAAGGAGACTCCAGAGAACTGTGGCAGTGGAGTTGTTGCCAGACCT